GTAATTTGCTTTGAGTAGCTGGAAAAAAAATCCGGCGCTATCGCATTATACGGGGGCAACCTCCAGGACAGGAAGATAGGGTCAGGAGCTCCGGACAAGTGAAAATGACTAATGCTTGAAGTTTCTCTACTCCCCCCCCCCCCTATAGCTTAGTCCCGTTTTTAACAAAAAAAAAACACGTTTTGCGCGGTTTCAAATGCACTGCCACCACAATGCCCCCGTATATTGCGATAGCACCAGGAATTCCTCAGTTTCACCTCCCATTAAGAATTAGTTCTGGCGGGCGGCTAATTTGCATGTGACGCTAAATTCCCAAATTTTCACGCCTCTTTGGTGCAATTTAGGGAATCCGTTGTGTTTCGGCATCATTAATCGTGTAGCATTGCTAATCGCACAGTCGCTAATCGCGTTACATGCTGTTGGACGTCGGTGACGTTTGAGATTGTGATCGAAACGATAGCAAGACGACGGCGATTTGTAGCGGAGATAGAGCTGGCGTTTATGACTGATGATTGAGTCGTTTCTAAAGGCACACTTATTGACAGTATAAGATTTAACTTTTGAATGGATTTCGGCTCTTTTGTGAGTTTGATATCGTCGAAGTAAACTGACTTCAATGCTAAGTGAAAGCAACGTCAGTTTTGATTTCTTTTCACAAGAATGCTGAAATGTGGGCAAAACTTTCGTCCCAGCCGGGATTCGTACCCGGATCTCTTGCTTTCCGGGCAGTTACACCAGCGGGGCACCATTTCACCTCAACTCAGCTTCGACGGTGAATTGACCACAGTTTCGATTCCCAATTTCAGTTTGATTTATTGGAACATCATTCCCGAAAGAGAGGGCAAGGGAAAACCTCCTCATCGGTTGAAAATTTCGTTTTTTCCCTCCCGAATTGGCAGCGTCGATATCAAGTGAGATCACTGACGTGAGTGACTCCTCAAGGGCCAGCCCAATTGTGTTCTGCCCAGCTCTCATGCTTGTCGAAGATATGGGAGATCCTGGACCAGCGCTGGTCGAGGAAAACGAGATTTGAAATAATATCTCAGAGATCAGACTTTCACACATTCACGACGGCGTCTTCTTTCCCTTTTTGGTGGGAGCGATTTTGCCACCAGCTCATCTCACATCCGTGAATTTTGTGTAGTAAATGAACAGAAACATAAATATCGCGAAGTAATTTTAGTAATCTATCAGGTGTTAATTATTCTGGAATCAGAAATATGCAGAAAGTTACGGCAGAGGGTGGGTAGATGACGTATTATTAGATGGCGGCCTATATGGGCTGTCAGCTAATAATCGCTTACCAAATGTTGATGAAGGGTAGGAAATGATTTCACAAGCAATTTTTACAGCAATGCTAACCCGTGCTAACCCCTATATTTTTTGTGGACATCTGGTTAAATATAATATAACTAATGCAGTGAAGTTGGTGCATACAACTTGGAGATGTTCCCCATCGTCGTTTCATCCTCAAAGAAGCTGGTGTCGTAATGATCACTGCGTTGTTCTCGATGATGCCGTTTCGAATTGAATTAAATGGACGCGACTGGCTCAAACGTGCTTGCGCAGCTTTGCGTTGTTAGAATAAAGAGAACCGAGGGTTGTCGTGGAACAAAAAGTGTCGAGGTTCAAGACAGACAGAGCTGCTGAAAGTGGTAATCGGCGCTATAGCAAGATGGGGGGCTATGTTGTGGCAATGCATATAAAACATGTCCTTTTTATTAAGAACTGGACTAAGCCTTAGGCGGGGAAGGAGAGACTCCATGGTGCGTCACCCTTTTTCATTATCCTTGAACTCTTGCCCCCTTTTAGGCTTAGTCCTAGTGGATGATCCCGTATATTGTGACAGCGGCTGCTAGTCTAGCTGTTGATCCATTATGTCGAGGAAATAACCTTACAACTCGTGTGGAAGTTGGTTTTGATCATTCATCACGTTGCTATATGCATAATAGTGATTTTTTTCAAGGGTTCTGCTGTGAAAGTGGAGCGTTTCTATGCGTGAAATACGAAGATTTGATATGAACCTCTATTGTTATTCTTTTAGATATGCGAGGTGTGAGTTCCGGGTTACATTTGATGGGAATGAGCCGACTGTTATCACTACGTCATCGAAGGTGAGCCAGCATTCATTAAATCCGTATAAACGCTATTGTTTCACAAGGAATGAAGTAGGGTTAAGTGACGCGGCATTCTTCAAGCCTGTTGCCAAGCCACATCTTTTTTTTGTTGATGAAGACAAATTTAGTGAATAGTTCCAACAGCCCCCCCCCCCATCCCTTCCCGTTGGTGTAGCAGCAGAGTTCGCTTTTGTGGTGCTACTTTCGGTCCAAATACGTGAATATCTGCGTCTCGCTGGTACCCAATGCTCTCTCGTCGTTGGGACTGTTATCTCGCCCAGTGTCTCTTAATGTGTCAGTGTTGCAGGCTTGGAGGCTCGTCTAGCACCCTCAAAGCAATTTCCTGTTATTTTCAATGTTTCTGTCGGGTTCAATGAATGGTGTAACTCTGCAGAACTCTCCAACTTCATCAGTTTCCTTGCAAAATCGCAATGGCATCAGAAATTCGATATGACGTTGCCGTATGGCAGCATTGTTGGTACAGCTGACGATGGTTACAGGGTGAATGTTAACATGACGAACACAGTACTCTCTCGAGTTAGGGGGGTCACCGTTTAGTGAGTATGCGTTGATCTTGGTAGCTGGTTGTGTGATTAGTTAGTTTGTTCCGGATGGAATGATGCGTGAAACGAACACATCCTCCGCCAACAATTGCCCATTGTTGCCTCGGTCCGAAGCTCATTTTATTGAGGCATCTGGTCAATCAGCGAACGTTTCGAGTGGAAATCTTCAGCACAAGGCTCTAAGAAAGAAGGGATTGTGAGAATCGAATGGCCTGGCTATTTTGGCTGGCTATATTTGTAACCATTAGCTTCTTGCTTCTACAGTCACAAGAAATTATAGAGCATATTTGTTTCCTTCGCAAGGCTCCACAATGCCGGCGATTTCTTTCTGGGGTGACGGTCATTCATCCAGAAAAACGGAGGCAATCATGTGTTGGCACTCGGCCAACTGTTGCGCCGTAAAAGGCTTGTGATGTTGGCGTCACGTGGCCGGGCCATCTGTCATGATGATTGGCCACGGTTTGACATTCTTTTATGTGTATGTATCGTTGATGCATCGTCGGTCTTTTTTAGGAAGGGGGATTGGTCGGAACAAGGGGGAAGGAAGGGCGTGGATGGCAGGCAATAATGTCATCATTTCGTGTTATGAGTGGCCACCCGCGTTGCTCCACTTACGCTACTCAAAAAAGACGAGACAATGTTACGAATTCTGAGTGGCGGACACAAGGGATTAGTTCCTCAAGAGGAATTGAGGGTCGCGGGTTTGAATCCTTTTTTGATGCAACAAAGATTAAGGCGTATTTCACAATATTTGTGAGCTGAGGACAGAGCCTTGGACGGAATAGTAAAGGCGCTTTGGTCGGGTAGACCCCCAAAAAATAACGTGGTGAAGTACGGAGAATAAGGCAAGGTCCTTTCCCATCGAATACTCACTGTATACGTTTTACAGCCTACTGTAGATATTGTAGACAGAGCAGGATAAGTGGTAGCAGAACTGCATACAGGTGATTAGGACGTCGCTTCATATATGAAAAATTGTATTATAAAATCAAGTGATTGATTATGTTTTTGTACGCCCCCCCCCCCTTAATGGTGCTCTAGTAGGTTTGAACGTTAAATTGAAATTACACTGTAATTACGATCGCGTAGCGAATCTTCGTAGATTTTTCTATGAGTTCCAAGCCATCTTATCTTGGAACCACGGCATTTTCTTGTTGTCCTAGGTTTTCCTACTACTGAGGCTAATCCAGGGGCTTGCCTTTAAAAACCCAGTTTGGATTTCAATGGGAGCCCTGAGCATTTGTGTCTTGAGAGTGATAGGTTAAAGACTAGTTCAATGAATTTCTTTGCATTTTGAGGCGTGAATAATCCATTTTCATCCCTTTGACTTGCTAAAGATTTAGATTTAAATGTTTCAGTTCAATGACATCTGTGGAGTATTTTCGGATTCAAGTGGTGAATACGAAGAACCACAGCCAGTCGTGGTGTCTAGGAACACGCAAGAAGATCGGAAATCCATTCGGGTCAACGTTCTGCTACGGTACCGATCAGATCGTTGTTGAAGTGAGTCGATTTTTCGAATATGTTGATAGGGAACCACATTTTTTCTCGCTCATGTGAGAGAGCTTCGGTGTCTCGAAATGAGGCTTTGAAGAGAAAAAGAAAACTTGAAAACCGTTACAAAAACGAGGGGGGGGGTTCACAGTAATAGTTCATCATTTCTCTGCCCACATCGCCATCTTAGAGTGGCTTGGTATTAAGCCGTTTTGAAGGTGACGTGATAAGTGGCTTTTTTCTGCAACCTGCTCTATCGACCTGTTTGTGATAATGCATTCAAAATCACGTAAAACACCTCTTTGTTGAAAACGGGACTAAGCCTAACATGGGAAAGGGGGCTCGAGGGTGTGTGAGCTATTTTCATTTTTCCCGAAGTCCCTGTCACCTATTGGACTTGGTCCTAGAACATGCTCCCTACCTTGCGATAGCGCCATGAGAAATTTATTCTGCCGGCAGTAAGAAGTGAAGTCACCTGATAATCGACTTTTTTTCTTTCGCAGAAGTTTAAAAAGCACTGGCACTGGCCTAGGGTTTTCCCACTTGTCTCGGTGTGCCTGTGGATTACTGCCGTACAGTGCAGACGTCCTTGAGTGTGGTGAATAACGATTGGTGAGAAGCGGTCTTTGTCAAAGGGTTCATGTGCACAGTTCGTTGAATTTTATGAGGAGATGAAATGAGTGAATGCGATGCGATTGAGAATCCATAGAAGCAAATGCGAAGGGAGTTTTCAGATTGGCAGTAGATTACTTGAGCTACTCTATCGCGGAAATTGTCTAGTTTAAGTGCTAGTGCCGTGGGGTTGATAATTGTAGCAATATGCCTTATAATAAAAATGTTCGAGAATATGCGAAAGCTGATGCGCATGAATAGTTGCAGCAGATTCTCATAGGAGTTGCTGACCCTTCTGTTTTTGTTGAAGGTAAATGGTGTAGTGGCAAGTAACGTTGCTTACCACGCGACGGTCCGGGGATGAATTTAGCTTCCTACGCCGTTAAAGGCAAACTCCGGGATTAAACAGGTGCTATCAGCGCTTTGTGGTGATAGCTTAGCTGCGGAACGACCTGAAAGTGGAAAGGAAAGCAAGAGAAATCTTTGGGAACGCTGAAATTAAGGCCTTAACCTTCAATAGGGTCGGATGTGGTACGATGGCGAGAAAGGGCGGTCAAAGAAGACAAAATACGCGAGAGAGCACGTCGTTTGAGAGAGCACGCTGATCTCTACATCAATGCACGCTGATCTCACCACCCAGGGTCAACCCTATGTTGCTACAAGTAGCAACGGGGGGGGGGTCGTATTTTGATGAGTTTGTAGAGGGGGGGGGTCGTACTTGCTTCGGTTGTA